CTTAAACACTTTGCTACCATATTGAAGTAACATATCTATGTTGGTTTACTTTTCAGAGATTTTAGATCAGCGGTTCCCAAAGTTGGGGTCTGGACCACAATAGAATGTTATTTTTATTTATTTGCCACAATTGTTGGGAGAGATACAATTTGCTAAATTTAACCAAAGATATATGGGTGACGAGTTATCGGCCCCTCTCAAAACTTTTTTGTAATCAGTGGAAAAGTTAAAAAAGATGTGATAAATGTTAGCTATTGTAATGAAATTATTTCATGAATTTCCTTAAAATGAGAATTATTAGTTAGATCACATTAAAACATATTTACCATTATTTTACCAGGCAAGTCCCATTGAGATCTCAGATGTCTTTTTCAAGGGAGGCCTGGGCCTGAAGACAACCTATTGTACATGTTTTTGTGTTGTTGGGGAAACTGGAGTACCCGGAGAAAACCCACGTAAACATGAGGAGAATATGCAAACTCCACACAGAAAGACCCCAGGTCTGAACCGGGGATCGAACCCAGGACCTTCTTGCTGTGAGGCTTCAGTGCTAACCACTGAACCGTGGTGCCGCCAAAACATAAAGGAAAGAACTGAAATTCTACAAGTTCAGGGTTTATTGAGCTTTTTACATAAAGTCTGTTGTAATCAGAAAAACCTGTTTCGACTGTAAAACAACCTTAAAGAAAATGTGACATTTTCAGTGACCTGACATCAGAATAAAGGTCTGACAAGTTCTGGATTCGAACCCAGGACTCTCATTTATAGCTTCTCATGCTAAGCTAAACCAAGCAGAAGACCCTGGTGGGCTCAGGATGGGGTTTTCCTCTGATTACTTTTTATGATCGATTAAACTGATTACTGAGTTGAATTAGGATTAATTTATTGATATTTATAACTTTGCAGGCTGAACAGATCGAGCTCTCGAGCCAGATGTGTCCCACGGGTGGACCGGTGCTGATCAGCCTGACGCCACTTCCTATTTGCATTTAAAGCAGTTCTTATTGCAAATTAACTAATCGACTTATCTGTGTGAACATCCTGTTTTATCACATTAAGGTGGGTTTAATTAACTGAAATCTTTGTTTTAATTCAAATCTCCAGATTGTGGACACCCTTAATTTGTCAATTAGTCCTGCTAATGATGTCAGCATTAAAACAATGCTATTACAAACACATATTTCAATCACTGTTGTAGTTTAAAAAAATAAGCCAATCAGAGCCTTTATCTGACTACATAAAAATAAAGCTTGTTGTTGGAGTTGAGAACCAGTTCAAGAGGTTTAGATAAGGTCAGTTTCTGCAGAACAGAAGCACTAATTAATACACCATGAAAAGCAATTTACACCCCTGCCAAGGGGATGGGTGTTATTTACCCTGACCAATCAGAGCACTCAACAAGAAACAATTAATAAAACAGGAAATAAAGAGACTGGAGGAGTGTGGAGGGTGTTGGTATGATTAAATAATTAACAAGACAGTCCAGAGAAGGAGAATCAATCCCAGCCTGAGCTCATTTTCTCTCGTTGCTTTGCTAAAAAAATGACTTTATTAATTCTAACAAAAGCTTTTGAACAGACATTGATGAAAGACAAGAATTTTGAAACTCCTCCAGAAGGAAAGAAAAGAAATGAGGTGAGAGCCATTATAGTTTTCCTTAGAAAAAAGAAATACACTGATCATTTCAGCAGGCTCAGACTCCAGAAAACTGAAGGAAGGGTTTTGATCAACCAGTTTGTCTGATATTAGAATTAAAAAGGCTGTAAATTAAAACACTTTGTTAGACACTCTTCTTTTATCCTGCAGTAAATGAAGTATTTTGTTTTAATTACCTCTCTCCTTGAATTAGTCATGCTGTCCCTGGGCTCTAAAGCTTGAACTGAGTAATTTCTTCTCCCTATCTGTGATATTTAGTCCACTTAATAACTAGCAGACCCTGATTAAACCCTGCTATGACACCTGTTCTATCGAGCTGAAGATGAAGATTTTGCTCAATCTGCAAACTGTAACGTTTCTCTGTAATTTAAACTGTGTTGTGCTAAATTTAAAATGCAATATTAAAAACAAGGCTATGCAAAATATAAAAAAAACAGCTTTTGTTCTAGTCACAATAAAAAGACATGCGTTTTTTACCTAAAAACAAAGAACTTCCTTCCATTTCGTTCTTTTTTTTCCACAGAAAATGAAAATGTGTCGGTAGATGCGACCACGTCTGCTCTACTCCCCCCTGTCCAGTTCTCCGGGAGAGATGGGAGGAGTGTGTGTGAGGGGAGTCGGGCTTACAGCTGGTTATTTACAGGAGGAATTAGACCAAATGCATAGCGACTAAGTTCGAATAGGGTTTTAGTTAAAAACAAAAACAACAACAACTTTGGTTGAAGAACTAAAGCTAAACAGAGCAGTTTTACTTTGCCCTGAAGCATCACCTACTTGTTGCCTTGTGCTTGGTTTAACAAGCTGGAAACAGGAGTCCAGCCTTCATACCGAGCTGCTGCACTGCGGATCAGATATTAATGACTCACCTGTGAACAGTGAGCGCACATACAGCCATCAATATGTCAACCACTTTACAGGGTGGGCATATGAGTTCCCACTGAAACAAGTTGATTTAGTCTACAGCAACACTGAAAAAATAAAAATAAAAATAAAATAAAAATAACCTGATCTGTAGTAAGTTGGACGTGGTGATAAAGAATACTTAAAAGAATAGAAAATTATTTCATTAGGAGCTGCATGTGCGGTGCATAAAATTGTAATATTTTTAGTGTGATGTATATTTTGACCACAAGGGGGCAGTAAAATCAAAGTATTCGCACTGATAAATTGTGTTTTTTATTCTAAAAATGAAGTAGTCATCCTTGAATTGCTCACTGTTGTTTCTTGTAAATTTGTTGAGATTACTCTTGCATTTTTATGAGATACTGCAACATGCAGTAAACGTTTTTCTCATTGTTGCCGCTGGAATTTTTTTTATTTTAACAGACAAGCAGGCTGCAGACATTAAAGCAAGTTGTAAATTGTATTTTCTGCATGAACCATTGCAGCGTTCTTTTTACAGTAAATTGTTAGTTCCGCTAATAATTTTTATGTAAAAAAAATCAAAACAAAACAAAAAATATAAATAAGATAAAACAAAAACTGGAACTAATAAAACAACTGTGTCACATTAATTTTCATTTTATTTACATTTCTCTTTCTCATACGCCGATGCTATTTGATTCACCCCTCCCAGAAACTTTTATTTAAAATGTTAAATATAAACTTTAACGTAAGGTAATCCACATAGAGCAAAGCACACAAAATTACAAGTTTATCTGGAGGACTCGAGACAAAATTAAATAAATAAAAACAATAACAACCAAAAATAGAAAATAAAATTAATAAAATAAAAAATAATAAAACTGGCTTGGGTTTAAACAAATAATTTATGAATTAATCCAGATTACCTTGTTTTTAAGAGTAAATTTAGGTTGGGATTTTTTTTTTCAACATAACTACAGAAACGTTGCCAAAATACTTTAAAATGAGGACACGACGAAAACGAATCATTTCCTATTCATAGGAACGATCACAGAAAATGCAGAATAAATAAATAATCGATAATAAATAAAGAATCCCATCGATGTTTCAGCTCATCACGTGACCAACTCTCGCGATATTTCTGTTTCGGTCACCCAGCCGTCCTGGTTACTCTTCACTGTTGAGAAACATCAACATAGTAACCCGGGAAGAAGAAAGGAGGTTTTGGAGAGGCGGGTGGAAACATTTTTTAGAAGAATTCTTACAGCTAACTTGGATTAGCCGTTTGAGCAGAATCTGAAGCAATGGATTATCTTTGCTGGAAAAAGTTGGTTGTTTAGTTGCTGTATATCTCCTGGCTACCATTGATATAGCTAAGCTTAGCCGGCTAACGCTAACGTTAGCAAACAGCTCACTCAACAAAAGTGAAGGAGAGTTCCAGGGAAGTTGGGAGTTTCTTCTCATCATGAAGACATCAGCGTAAATGTGGACTCTTGAACATACCGGATCATTTCCCTAGAGGTATGCGTTGTATGTCTTAAATAGCTGCTAAGCTAAGATCTTTATTTTTCTGCCATCTAGCGTTAGTAATATAACTGTCGGAGTTGGCAGCGGCTCCGACTATTTCCTGGAACTACATGGCAACATAAATCAGAAGTCAGCTGGTTTAATAACTTTTATTTGTACTAGAGTTTTAAACGTACGGCGACTGTATTCAAGTTTAGCCAGGTTAAAGTGTCATTTGCGAGGACAGTTATATCTCACTTTTTATGTTACACTCGAAACCGCTTTTATTATCTAGTTTGTCTCAATAATGAGACGAGTAATGCCTGGAACGCAAAGTAATACGACAGTTCATTACGATTACTTGGTTTTGGAAAAGCTTGGATTTGTCCACTGCCTCACTTGTTTTTATTATTTTTATTTTTATTTTTATTTTTGAACACGTTGAGCTGCTAGTTGCAGAGACATTTTTGATTTTGAGTTGATTTATCTGAATGGGAGTTCTGGTGTCGCAGCACAAGTCAAGTGACTTCAGTCAGTTCATTAATGATTGCATTTAGTGTGGATAGTAAATGTGATATGACCAAGAAGTGTTTGTGTAAAGTTGTGCAGAGTTAAATGAAAGCGACTTAAACTTAACTTGAAACTGTGGTGTTTGTGGTTTATTATTATTTTTTAATATATTTTGTTTGGAGGGGATTGGGTGTTAATTTGCAGTTATTCATCCCATCCTACCAGATATCTTTCAGTCTTTCTGAACTTTCTGACATTAATGTTTTTCACGATATGTTGTTTTGTCATGTTTTTATTTTTAAACTAATAGGCACAATTGTTTGTTGTAAACAACACAGTGTCAATGGTTAAAAAGGCTATTATGTTGTCAGACAGAGCAGATCGCCTGCAGTTGAAAACTCTTGGATTATTGTGGGTTTTAAATAATTGCGTCTTTGTCTTAAAACCTTGGTGTTCATTTCCTTTTTTTTAAGAGAAGTGTTTTATAATGCTGGTGTATGCACTTTTTAGTCAGCATTTTAACTGAAGGAAGTAATTTTGTTCGCTTATTTTGAAATCCAACGTACCAGGAATAGTTTGCTTAAACTAGGGTGGAAGAAAATCCTCATTTTTAGTTGTTAAATGCATTTTGTTGTGTGATTAGGGTCTCTAGGAGTGCCGAAATGTTGAATTTAGTTTCTCCTGGTGCTGCGTACGTAGATGTATTCTGTTTGGGTGGTATTTTTCAACCCATTCAGTTTTCATTATTAGTTATTTTTTCTTTATTATCAACTTTATTTGAGACACACCTCAGAATAGGGGTGAAAGAGGGACCTGTGGAGTTACAATAAGAAAAGGTTGCAGTTCCATTTGATATAGACTCCAACTAAACGGTTTAAATGTGAACAGGAAGGATTTAAAAGCAAGATCTCTACTTTAAGATTTTTACTAATTTTACATGTATTTATAAAAGCTGCAAAATTTTAGTTGCTTATGAAATTCTTCTATATATGGTAGTCTTCACAATTCTCAAAAATAACAGCTATCCAAGATTATTACCATTATTAATAAAAACCTTAAATATTAAGAGTCAGCATGTTTTGTTATCAGAACAATAAAGATATACAGCTATGCTGTTGACTAGTGCTAATGTTGATCCAAACATGTGAGGTCAGAATTAAAGCTGCTTTCAGTAAACATAAGTTTGCTGATGTGTGAAATGTGTTTCCATTTGGAAAATGCGTAGCAGCGTCGGTATCAAATGGTGCAGTGGCATCACTTTGTTGGTATTTTGGTTTCAGTTTGTTTATTCAAGAAGTAAGTTTGCTGTACTTCAAGGTAACTTGGTAAATGATTGTAAAATGGTCAGCACAGTGGATTAATGTTTAGCACTGTTGCCTTACCGAAGCTCTCTGGTTCAAGCCCCTGGTGTCTTTCTGTGTGGAGTTTGTTCTCCTCGTGTTTTGACATTTGGGTACTCCCCTCTGAAAAAGAGGTCTGTGATCCAAGTGAGATTTGCCTGGTTAAATAATGGTTAATAAAACTGAGAAAGTTACTTGAATGACAAACAAATCAAGTATTTAAGTATGAAGTAGTCATATTGCCTTGATTCACCTCACTAGTGTGACCTCGTGATTATGACCGATAACCAATATTTACCAATATTACACAAACACACAAAATATGCACAAATACATTGTCTTTTATTGATACTGTAAGAAAAATGACCAGACTGCTGACATGGCTCTCTGCTTCACTTATTTCTGGCTGCGCAGCATCATTATCACTATCATGATCAAACAGATACCACTCCATCAACCATTTCCCCTCCGAAAACAGAAAATTACCAATATCGGCCGATATGATGATAATGCTGATTTACCATGCAGTGTTTCCCCTAGGAAGTTGGGCTGGGGGGTGGTACTTGTTTAATAAAAACATAAATTTACGTGACTCACCTGCAATTATGGTAATAAATTTACACATACATGAATATTTAATTGCCCAACTACATCCTAGTTAATGACTCCTCATGATTATTGTCAATAAAATTATTATTGATAATAAGTGATCAGAACTGTGTGCAGCAGATGATCTGAGTCCAGAGTTCTGTTTGAAACCTTCTGGAGCTCTTCTGTGTGACTCTAGGTGGGACAGAGTGTGGATGGTTGATTGTCTCTTTTGTGTCCCTGATGGAGACTGGAGACCTGTCCAGGTGTCTCTGATGGAGACTGGAGACCTGTCCAGGTGTCTCTGGTGAACTGGAGACCTGTCCAGGTGTCTCTGGTGAACTGGAGACCTGTCCAGGTGTCTCTGGTGAACTGGAGACNCTGTCCAGGTGTCTCTGGTGAACTGGAGACCTGGAGACCTGTCCAGGTCTCCAGTTCACCGGAGACACCTGGACAGGTCTCAAGTCTCCATCAGGGACATTATTACATTAAATATAGCAGTCTCCCAGTTGGTACACTTTCTTTACTTAAATTTTCTAACTTTGGCTGCAGGTGAATGGGAGAGATGAGGAGCAGCAGGAGGACTGAAGCGTCTCTTAAAAGCTCTGCTCAACTGTTTACTGATCACAATATTGCTCCAGGTGTGTAGACTGCATTTTAGTTTTTGGTTTTAATAAATCTGAAGTTTCTTAATTTTTACTCAGAATTTAATTTCAATTTAATGTTTCCAGATCAGTTGATTCTTTGTCACATTTTAATCAGATCTGTGAATTATTTATTTATTTATTTTTCCCAAAGAGCTGACAGCTGCATGGAAAGGTCTGACTCAGTCAAAAGCTGCTGTAAGTAATTCTAAAAATGATTTTGGCAAATTGTATTGTCAACTTTGTTTTTTTATAACTGTTGTCACGTTATTGAAGCAAAGAAATCTAATCTAAAGAGTCTGACACATGTTGTTGTTTTTGTTTTGTTTGTTTTAGCTGCGACACATAGAAAACTGTTTAGAGGCCACTCCAGGAACTGGGGTTCTACTGGACTCTGTCTCTGAGGCCCCCAAGAAGAAATCTTCTAAAAGAGTCCGACACAAAGGTGACTCATTTCAAAATATAAATGTGAACTTTATAATATACATAAAGATTCAGTTATCACAAATGTCTGATTACTGTTCTGTTCTGAAAACCATCAAAGCAAATTGGACGTCTTTAATAGGATTATAAGAGTACCTTTTCCATTACAGATGGACAAGTTGATGTCCTTGAAGGGACTTCAAAACCCACTGGTGGAAATCAGCAGAGTCCAGCAAAAAGTAGCTCTCGCAGCCCTTTGAGGAATACCACCCAGGACAGCAATGTACGGAAGAACAGCAGCGTGGAGTTCAGGGAACCTCTTGCCTCGTACAGGTAAACATACTGCACCAAAATATATCCACAAAACGTTATTACTGACATCCCGGATGGGACTCAGCTGTATGCGGGCAAGAAGTTGTTCAGTGGTGGTTTTTCTTGGTTAAGCTTTGCTTCACTTAAGCTGCATGCTGTGTGTGTTTCTGATCAACTGTGTTGTGCCTGCATGTGTGCCTGTACACCAGCAATCTCTCTGTTGAAGCACAGCTAAGCAGCAAATATTAGGGACGCAACAGTTAAAAACGAATCAATTAATAATCTATTATAGCTGCTTCAAATGTGAATCGCTTTATAAAAATGAATGAATGGATTTCATTGTTCTTGTATAACAGTAAGTTATGCTTTTAAGACAAAATCAGTTTGATCTTTGAGAACTTTTGGTCAAAACAGGATATTTTTATTTCTTTTGAAGTTATATTATGTTGCTAAGACAACAGACTGTTACAGCTTTCTACAAGGACAAAAATACTGATGTTAAAATAAAAGAAACACATCTGGTTAAAAAATGGCTACAATTCATTTTGTTGGAAAATAATCATAATAGTCACTCATTTACAGGCCAGCAGTCACTCTTTCAGAGATGAGGATGTTCTCATTCTTGATAGAGAGGAACGTTGGTTTGAGAGAGGAGTAAAAGAAGCCATTTTTGTAAAGAAAGACCGTCCATCATTAAACAGAGGTGGGGGCCTCCGTTTTCAGCTGTCCCCATCCTACAGCGCTGCCATTGGCAGTATCACTCCACCCCCTGTTAACAAAAGGTATTAATTAGGGTGAACGATAGCCATGTGATGTGAGTATGAGTAACCTGTGAGCCATGGCCAGGTGATGTAAGTATGAGTCACCTGTGAACGATGGTCATGTGATGTGAGTATCAGTCACCTGTGAGCCATAGCCAGGTGATGTGAGTATGAGTCACCTGTGAACGATGGTCATGTGATGTGAGTATCAGTCACCTGGAGGCAGGACATAAAAGCCTGAATTTGCCTGAAACTCTCAGACTGAAGAAGTCTCTTGGAAGAGAGACGAAACGTTTCATTAAAGAAGAACCCGTCCAGAGGACTTATACAATTTTTTTTTCCTTTGATTTTTTACCTGGATTACTGAGATGCATCAGGACAATCATTATAGTCAATCAATAATCGAACTGGGGCTAGAGTGAATCGTTACATTTTTAAATACTATTTTTTTTATTATTTTACGTTTTTGCCAGTGATCTTTTTTATGTTATTCATGATTGGAAATCATTAAAACAGAGAAAACCCACAAGTTGCAGTGTGAAATTAGTTGCTTGTAGTTGCGAGAAAATAAGGACTGCAGTCATTATAAAATGTGAACAGAGAATATTTCTGAATATTTTAATCTTGTGACCAACAAATGTTTTAGCTATTTATTCTCCTGGAAACTACTTATCTGACTCTCACATGAAAACAAGACATAATGGCAGTACTCAGGCAGTACTCCGGTTGTTACTGCAGGACTGAAGTTAAAACTGTGAGTTTGCATGTGCTAATCTGTTAAAACGATAAGCAAATTTTCAAGCCGAAAAACACATAACGTGTCAAATATGCTCAGTCAGTTGGAACAGTAATTTTAGATTGTAGCCAAAAAGTTTCGAATAAAATTGACTTTTCATAGAATATTGTTTAGTTTCATGTCTTAAGAGGAAAATGGAAAAAAGTAGCAGTTATGTGTGAAGTTTTGGTGATTGCTTTCTTAAAGTGTAAGATAAAAAGTTCAAGACTTTACAAGCAAGTGTACATAATGAGAGAAGTCCAAATACAGTATTTCAGTGTCTGTAGTTTTATTGTGCTACAGACAAAGAGAAACTGAAAAACAAAACCGCATTACTGAGTGTTAAAGATATGACAGAAATTTAAACAGTTACCATGCCAACAAATATGAGTTTACATCGTCATTGTGGGTAAACACAATTGTTTTTTGACTTGTATTAAACAGAAAGTGTATAAACACATTTATTAAAGGCACATTCTGATTTATAGTAAAAGAAAAAACTCTTAGGTGGAAAATGTAATTTGCTAATTAATCAGTCTAATCTATGACTTGGTTGACTTCTAATATAGTTAGATTGCAGAGTGTCAGTATAAGAAACTGATAATCTGTGGTTAGTTCTTCTAAAATTTGAACAAGATTAGAGAAATGTTTGTTTATGATTAATTATTTACAGATTTAAATATTCTTTATTCCACTGAATTCAAGTAGCTGTCTGTTTTCTTGGTCAGTGATGTTACTGTATAGGGCTGGGTATCGATTCAAATTTCCCAAATCGAATCGATTCGATTCACAGGGGCCCAATTCGATTCACGATTCACAACGATTCAGGACAATTCACAATTCAGTTTGATTGATTTTTAAATTAGTTAAGGATATCATGCAGTAACACATTTACTTTGATATAGAAGATATTCTCAAAGGAACTAATTCTGCAAATAGTAGAAACTAATTCTAACTTGGTGTGTTGGTCAAATTATAAACATTAAGGGCAAACTTGTAAATTGGAGTTTAATCTTGAAACAAAACTGTCTCAAGTTTCAAAGGGTTTAAACTAAAAGGAATTGCAAGAGAAAGTGTTGGATACAGTTTTTTAAGAAATTAAGAATAATTTTCTTGATCATTAAGAAGTGATGGAATAAGGCTGCAGGAGAAGAGGTGGGATAATATAATTGTTTATTTATGCCCACTCTTGAGTGTATGAAAATTGTATTTGTAATGTTTTTGTTAGCTTCTGTTCAGTAAAACTTATTAACAAGAAGAAAGACAGAAAAAAATTACTTCAGCTAAAACCTTCCATCACTGTGAATTACATTAAGATGTTTCTAAAATTTATAAATAATCTTGGTAACAAAACTAAACGATTTTGTTAGACTGATATCTTTCACACATTTATCCATGCTGAGAACAGTTTCAGTCAGATGTTTACATACCATTGTAGTTATGGTTCAAGCCGCTCGAAGTTTCGTTTCCCGCTACCGCGTCTAAGCGCAAATCTTTGCAAACAAAAGCTGCCATGGTCTCTGTTATCTTTGAGTTCAGCTGAGAATCATCTGGTAATTTTAGTGATTCCTTAGTTTCTTTTGATTTGCACCAGACAACTTGTTGTCGGGAGCTAACATTAGCGCTGACCGTCAACTGGATGTAAACCTACGGCAAGCCAGGAGTAACACACAACATGGAAATGTGCAGCTTCATCGCACACAGCACCCATGGTGAAAAATCAATCTCATGACTTATGAATCGATCTTCCCAAATTTGAACGAGAATCGATCCAGATCGATTAAATCAATTTTTTTAAACCGAGCCCTATTACTGTAAGACTTGCCTTATATTAGAATAAAAGTTCATTTTATGATTGTTGCATTTTTTTATTCATTAGTGAACACGTTCAGTGCATATGTTTTCTCTCCTTCTGTCAGCTATGGCCATTTGTGTGTTCTTTTGTAAATTTGCTAAAAGCAGTGAATCAAGAGTAAATCTTTTTTTTCCTCTTCTTGATCCCTTGTAATCTGGTTTATGTCCAGAGAGGCCACCCCTCCTTCACGTCCCTTCTCTCAGCTGGAGGCCTACAATCTGCAGTCTGTGCCAGGGTCGTCCTACACATCCTCTCCGCCTCAGTCAGATCCTCTGCCCAGCCAGATGGTTTACCAGAGAGACACCAGGGACAGACAGACTGACAGGGACCTGGACAGCACACGTTCCTCTGCTCTGGAGAGTGCAGAGGTTCGCTTCCTCAATGACCAGTCAGCCCTGGACATCCTAAAAACAGAAGGAAACGCTCACAAAGCACAACTTAGCATGGATGAATCAAGTCCGTGCACAGCTCCCACTCCAGGCTCATCACGCCGTGGGGAGAGCACTCCTTCCACTAGTCCTGGCTCAGCTTCGCAGCGATTGGAGAACCTAAAGCGACACCAGCCGGATGATAAACTGGAGAAGCTCAAAGCGCGGATTAGAAGGCAGAGGAAACATCTAGAGGAGGCTGCAGAGAGGGAAAAACTGCAGGGTCAGCTCGAAAAGCCGAAAGCTGCTTTTGTCGAGAGTGAGAGTGATGGTGTCACCACTATGCCCACAGCCAAGATACGCAAAGTAACAACCGGACCTCCTGCACCCATATACAAAGGTATTATAAGTAAAGCCCATTTCTCTATTTTTATTCTTTTATTTTACTATATATTGTGTCAGATGTCTTTAAGAATACAGATTTGATCTGTATCAGTGGAAACAGGATGCTGCAGTTTACATGTTTCTTTGTATTCACAGGTTTTAACAGCACTGAGACAAAGATCCAGACCCCTGATGGGAAAGTTTGGAATGAGAAGGACTTCCATAACCTCAGCAGAGAACTCTACAGAGACACTCATCATTGTCCTGGTATAAATGCTTATATTTACAGAATTACACAAGATAACATTACAGATTTAGCTTTAGGTTTTTCCTTGTCACAAAGGGCTTTTTGTGTAGAGCAGAACAGTGGTTGGACCAGTTTTGACTGTCTGTTTTTCAGGGCTTTTATTAAGAACATATACCAAATATCCGCAATTTTAAGTCACAAAAGATTACCTATGAGTCTTTTTAAATTTATTTCTGTTTTTTAAAACAACACTTTTTTTGGTACAGTGGTTTGCAAAAGTATTCATACCCCTTGAACTTTTCCATATTTTGTCACATTACAACCACAAACATAAATATATTTCACTGGAATTTAATG